ATCTTTAACCAGGAATACCACTGCAGAGAACTGTGAGGTGTCATACTTCCCTCCTTTCCCAGACAAGCTACGGTTGCCAAAAGAAGCTGAAGGAATTCCTAAAAGCTAATGAATCATGTGGTCATGTGTAGGGGTGGTGTTTGTGAGGGGAGGGAGGAGAAGGTATCAGGTGTGGAAAGAGTACAAGAATATTGTACTCAAGTAAAATTGCAGTTACTACAGTTCAATTTCCCTAAAGTTGAAGTCAAATAACTAATTATTTATAAAAAGTACTTCAAGTATCAAGTACTGACTACTTGGGGGTGAAAAGTAAAATATGATCTCTCAAAGCCAACAGGTGGATTATTGCTCCTCAGTATAAATACGCTACAAGTAAGGAAAGATCATATTTTCAGTCATCCTACAGACATAACGCCCTTAAAGCCGAGCTAGCCGCTTAAATTCCCTTCATTTTCTTCAGGTTCATCCTCAACATTACCACGGCTTTCAACCGGGTCCACATTTTTTGTCCGAGTCCTCTATGTTCATCTTGTGATTTGAGCCAATTGCTAATTTAACTTTATGTTAGGATTAAAAAAAAAAAAAAAAAAAAAGATGGAAAATGTTGGTGTAACTATCCCAGAAGCTATGCGTCAATCTGCTTCTTTGGTCCTGATAAAAATATCTCAGAATGTGTTTCCTATTTGTCCGTGTCTCTGCATTCACCTACACAGTCGTGTTGGACTCTGTTTCATTCATCTGGCTGCTTCTGTCTCTCACAATGTCTTGCAAAGCTTGTTGCAATGCTGAAACTGTTAAAAGTAGAAAGCATGGTTGTGCTAACAGTCCAATGTCACTGAGCTGTTAGCATGGTGGTGGGATCTATGTGTTGTTAACTTTGAAGAGAAAATTGAGAGATTTGAAGGAATAATAGTCGCCTAAGGTTCATTCAGTCACAACAATTATCAAATTCACATTCTGAAGTATTCTCAAGTATATGATAATGAAAGGAGTTCAAGGTTTAAAGGAGCTACACATGCTCCTTTATGGATACAACTGTCTGAAATAATTCTGCAGTAACTTTAAAACTTCAATAGTGTCATTTCTGAAAGTCTGTTTCATCTGAAATTTGAGCTACTTGTATGTTTGTTAAACTCAGAATCTGAACCCTATTTTCCTCATACCAGAGACTTGCATGGAAAATGCATTTGACCCTGTGTGTGTGTGTGTGTGTGTGTGTGTGTCAAAGTCTGACTGACCAGCCATGGGAACAATAAAGACCCAGGTACTGAGTAACAGCTGGTCAGCCAGTATGCCCTCCAGTAGCCCCCTCTGTCCCTTCCTGAGGAGCCAAGGAGTCTGAAGACTATCACTGTTCAATGAGGCCGATTTCACACACACACACACACACACACACACACACACACACACACACACACACACACACACACACACACACACACACACACACACACACACACACACACACACACACACACACACACACACACACACACACACACACACACACACACACACACACACACAGAAGAATAAGAGAGACAGTTGAGTGACGAGACATCGAGGGTTGCCCCAGGGGTATTTACCACCTTCTTTTAACCCTTTCTTACAGTTGGGTCTCCAATTTGCACGACCACTTCCGTGTGTAAATGCTTTTAAGCCCTTTAAGTAAACACACTTTTTGTCGCCCTTTGTCCACAACTAAAACAACATGGTCAGTATTTTACCAAACAAAAGTATTTACTTAACAACTGTCAGCTCTTCCCATTCCACTTCTCTCTTATTCAAAAGAACCATTAACATTACATATTGAACATCTTAGGCAAATATAGGCAGTTTAGTCAATGTATTTTTGGGCTTTTTTTGTGTGTTTATTGGAGGGATAGGACAGTGGATATAGTCAGAAAATTAAGGGAGAGAGAGAGAGAGAGAGAGAGTTGGGAATGACATGTAGGGAAAAAGCCACATGTCAGATTCGGAGGACTATAGCCTCCATACATGAGGCGCACGCACTTACCCCTGTGCCACCAACGCTCCCAATATGTAAAATATTTGATCATTTTCCTCTATATGTCTCGCCTCTCTATTGTAAAAAAAACGCTGTTTCCTCACTAAAGAAAATGTAGCTTTCCACAGCGTCTTTTAAAAGCTGACTTGGTGATTAACTGTGAACATGGGAAACAGAGCTTTTAGAAAACGGTGACGCAGATCGCCCAGTGAGGGAGAGCTGCTGTTTATCAGTGAAACTTTGAAAGACTTTCTGTCACCTCTTACTTTCTTTGTGATTGATTATTTTAAATGTGACTATAGCTGAAACACTAGCACAGCTGTTGTCATTAACCTGTGTGACTTCAACATGGCAGCACAGCAGCTTGGGAAGTCAAGTTTCAACACAGCATGTGTATGATTAACATTTGTTAACTAGCATTATTATTAGCATGCACTACTGCCATCAAATTGTAAAATAAAGACAACTCTACTCTGTGACTAAGATACTCTGCTCTTCTTCAGAAAGAAAAAAACAATTTGAGTCAAGTATCTCTTTCCTGTCAATCCTCGCTGTGCACACACGACTGATCGACACACCAATAACCCCTTCCAGGAGCTCTTACCCAGTAATTTCCAACTTATTGATGATTCACACGACATTAATCAAACCTATGGATTTTTGCATTGGAAGCTGAACAGCAGAATGAGTTCACAAGAAGAGGAAGAAGCAACAAGCAAGCAGCGGAGAGCCAGATGTTTGTTTGAGCGATACCATCAATCGGCAGGGACTTCTCCCTGAGGAGACATAGCCTGGGTATTCTCTCTATGTCACCCAGTGGAGCTGGAGAGCACTCGGGCGGAGGAGAGTCAATGTGAGACTCAAACAACACTGTAGCTCAGAAACAAAGAACCGGCTTGCTCGGGCCACACACTCATGGACATACACATGGTTATGAGAACCAAGAAAAGAGATCAGAATTCTCCATTCTCACTTCTCTGCACAGCCTCCAGTTTTATTTTGCTCATTAAATGAAGGCCTGCTTGTGGTACCTTAAAAAAAATATAAAGTTCTATGGAGGAGCCACACCCTTTATTTATCTGGCCCCTCTTCTTTAAAATCATCTACATGTCAGGGTCCAGGACGGGTCATATCCCCTTTTCACACATACAATGCACTTCTTTAAATAGCACTTCATCTTCGGGGGTGAGCAGCATGTGTAAAGACAAACAGTGAAGTATAATTTCAACATAAAGTCAGGGACAGCTGCCGTGTGAACACAGCAGGTAAGGGGCGTCGGTAGCCTAGTGGTTAGTGCTCGTGCCCCATGTATGGAGAATACAGTCCTTTAAGCGGGCGGCCCGGGTTCGAATCCGACCTGTCGCTTCTTCTCGCATGTCATTCACCATCTCTCTCTCTCTTCCTGATTTCCAACTCTATCCACTGTCATAGCTCTACAATAAAGGCACGACAAGCCCAAAAATAAATCTTTAAAAAAAAAAAAAAAAAAAACAGCAGGAAAATTCACTGTAAGTGAGTGGGCAGTGTTGAGACATCTTTACGTCATCACCCTTGTCCAAGACTCTGCCAACACTGAGCAACTGTTGCCATTGTGGTGCACATATTGAAGCAACTTAATACCCTTTTCTGCTCACCTGTGAGTTGGTTTCCACTCTTTCGCTGATACTGATATGACCAATGACACGAAGCATTGTTATAAAGGCCAAAGCTGTTAACTTAGCATCAGACTCTGGATCTTCATCACCATCTTGGATATGTTTAAACAATACTCTGTGGACTTCCCCTGTGTCCCTTTTTCATGTCCTGCCTCCTGAGACTCCCTCTCCCCCTCTGGCAGCGAAAAATCTCTCACCATGAGGGACTTTGTGAATGGGGAACTCTAGAAAGTGTCAATGGAAGCCTGTTTTTACATTTTCTGAAGTGCATGTGTGAAAGGAGATGTAGGTAGGCTTTGCTTGGGCCAGCTCCTTCATAACGCTGCTATAGGCTAATCATAATTATGGACTTGGCGTAAATATACTGAGACTGAGATGATGAAACACGCTCATTCAACACATACACACATAAACCGACTAGAGCTGACTACAAAAATATGTGCGACAGATTCAGCACCCCCCTGCTGAAGGACACAGCACGGCTACCCACATGTGTCTGTGTGTAATTCTACCGCTCTATGGTCGACGGCTACATTAACGCTCCAAGGTGCCGACCGAGAGCAAGACCGAGACCGAGAGAGAGAGAGCACATGGACTTGCGGCTACGCACCATCCCTCTTCCACGTCGGCAAGCGGGACAAATGCCTTGCAGCCAGCCGCCAAGTATAGAACATGAAACACATGATGAAACATGCAATTAAGAACTTCTGTGCGGGTGAGGAGCGGAGTGGGGAGACCGCTGGTTACATATTTCCCCGCTGATTAATGGAGGAGGACCGGGAAGGGCGGGGGTTAGCGAACCCGCCAGGAGTGTTGGGAGTGTTGGGTAACGAGGCACAGTGGCAGATTTATGTCCCACCCCCTCCCGGCGATCTCATGTGCCCATGACAAAGTGCCCCCCAGTCCCCCATCCCATCTCCTTGAAATGTCATTACATGTTCGCATGGAGCCGGCTCGCAGAGATGGAATGAAGATGGGCATTAATGCTAATGAGAATTGGGCTTTAGCCTTTTGTCTCGTGTCCCAGTAGCTCTTTCCATCTTTCCCTCGCCCCAGTCCATATCCTATATCCCATACCGCTTCGTCTCTCACCTGTCCAGACAAACTAATTCTCTTTTCCTCTCAAAAGCAGCACCAATCCACCGCACCTTGCAGCTTTTTTTTTTACAACAAATTGTACCCTCTAGACAGGCACCATGATGTCCAATATGTACCACTGTTTTTTTTCTTCCACCAGACTCCTATTTCATTCTTTCTGTGTGTGTCTCAAGAGTGAGTGTTTCAGACACAGGGAGATAGAGAGAGAGAGAGAGAGAGAGAGAGAGAGAGAGATTTACCTTCAGTCTGTCTTTGGGCAAAGCCTGGGCTCCTTTCATGATAACCTCCTGAACCCTCTCGACTGACAGGTCACTTCCAGCCTGCTCCAGACGCTGACTGAAGAAGCCGATCACCTGGAGGTCACACAAGAGGAAACAACCAATTACAATACATAACCAATACTTCTAACATACATGATTTGCAATGCCAGTGTAAGAGATGACCATGCACTTGGTTTACGTCATTATTTTTCCACATTCATTGAAATATGCTGAGTAACTTTCTTACAGAGAGTTACAGGAGTAGATCTTTAACACTCTTATTTCTGTCAGCTGTCAGTCAGTGTTTGACTCGCTCACAGTTTGAACCTATCAAAAATAAAGCTAATGCTAGAGTTAAAATAACTGCAGTTACTCAAGTCTGGCTTCAAAATGCTTCAAAAAATGTCATCATATGCAACGATTTATTGTAAGACTGTTAAAATATTTAAATATGTTTATATGTTCTGTGTTAATTTATATTATATATATAAATATTATTACCGTACATATCTATATATCTTTTTTATCATATTCCTTCAGTTCAGTACAACCAATCTCAGCGATTGGCCACATTGGACTCTGGCCTAAATCTTTCCCCGTTATATTCCGCTCGTGTCTCTAAAACCACGGGATCTCATGTCATCTTGATCTCACTGAGGTTTTATCTCCTTGTTCTGTCATGAAGCTCTTTGACTCTTCTAATCCTGCTGTTTGGAGCCGTCACATTGATATTGCAGCAGCCACACCCTATATGATGACACAGGGTGCAATGTGTAGATCTAAGTTAGAACAAAGTGGCATCATGCTACATATAGACGGCTTCAGCATGTAAACAAAAAAAAAAAAAAAAAACTGGTGCATGTTCCACCCTGTTAGCAGCACTTCATGTTGTCAACATGACATGATTTTAACAGCTAAACAAGAAGGCATATTTTGATCTGACTGAGTTGAGACTACATTTAGCTGCTTTTGCATCAACACGATGTGTCCATGGGTTGTCATGTGTCCTAGCAACAGTAAGTTGCTCTGAAAACGTGTCTATAATACACAGGGAGACAGAGCTGCATACAGAAGACTCCATATGCAAACTGTATAACAATAATGATTCATGCAAATAAGTGGAGAAAGGTTAATGGAATGGCTTTAAAGCTGCATGAATTCTGCTTTCACAGATTGTTAGGCTGCACAAATTCAACATGCTGCATACGTGGGCTCGGCCAATATTGCTTTAGGCTACAGACTCAGAACATGCAGTACATACATACATACAGCATTTCAGATTACAAATCCTCCATAGGGTCTGAGCATGTTTCATCCCACTTAAAATAAGCACTTCACTCGAACTCAAATTATCTGATGCCTTCTGGGTTTTAAGCCCAAACAGGAGATCTAGGCAACAGCGTTTCCTCTGCTGCTCTGGGCTCTATCCTGCTGAGATGTTTGATATTTGTTAATTAAAGAACTCTTGGTAATAATGCTGATTCTTTTTCATGCTTTTTGTTCAGTCCAACCAACTTGAAAAAAAGCACATCTAAAGGCAAAATTCTATGTTCTCATGTTTGGGGGATGCTTGAGAGAAGTCAAACACACCATGGTCTATATGAGTACTGCACGTGTGTGTGTGTGTGTGTGTGTGTCTACATCTATCTAATACTAATCTCTTCATTAACTCTGAAGGCCTCCCATATGGGGTTAATTTAGAGGAGCAAAGCAGCCCCTCATCCTGAATCTCATGCTCACACACAAGGATTTGCGAGCGCAGCGAAGGCTTCGGAGAATAGCCTCAGGGAGGCTGACTTAACGGAGGGAATCCAGATAGCATGCTCCCCTCATACTTATGGATAACAGCAAAGCCCATGGCAATGTATGCAGCAACCCCCATCCTTCAACCATACGTACTCATGCACACCAAAGCTTCCCCTTCCTCCTCTATATGACTAATACAGGCATGAATGACAGCTTTCTCTCGCACCGTTCCTTCCTCTCTCATAGACCAAACACTCTCACTGAATATTTGACGTGGAGCCTCTTGACACAAGGGGACTGATTAATTCATCAATACTGCTTAAGCTCACAGCATGCTGTATAGTCCGACTGCACACTGTTACACATGCAGTTCACATATGTTCCAGGACTGCTGGGCCTTTTAAGAAACTTTCCCTGCAGACGGGGAAGGACACTGAGGGGAAATTCTGTTCAACCTTGATCCGTGGAATATTTACCAGGTTGAAACGTCTATTCACATGCTTTTCATCAGACATTTCTGAAACCATGATTTCGTATGATTCTGATATTTAGACGTGGGTATTGGCCATTGTCGAGAACCCCTCTGACACTAGTCCATAAAAATGGGAAAACAAGTTAGCATTAAGCGAGCTTTAAAAACATTACACTCACTGCTGCTGTTTTTCACTGTTGCATGACAATTGACCTGACACCAGTTGATTTTGGAGCTCATTGGTTGCGGTATTGAGTGAACACCTATGGACTTGTTAGTCTGCCTAAAATCAAACAAATAAAATGAACGCTAACATGTTAGTCCGACTGAAATTGTACTTAGTCGAATTCCTTGAAGTCAGACTAACACAGCTGGAGATTGTCCTCGGGGGTCGATTCACTCTTGCATGTTTATAAACCTCAGTCAGACCCAATCTAGACTAGGAGTTTGGAGCATGCTCTACAGTCCCCACACCGCGTTCCTCGAATTGTTCCTCACTTGCTAGCAAGGTCAACTGGAAGAATGACCATAGCGACTAGCTCAAAGGGGGCATATCGCCGCCTGCTATCTGCACAAATGTAAATCTGATTCTATTGTGTTTAAATAGTTTATATTGCTTTAAATCTTAATCGTATTCTAGTTCCTTGACAGTGGGAGAACTGCTTTGCTTTCTTAATTCTACTTTTATGTTCATTGTTTTTTTTAACCAAAACATCAAGTCAAACTCTTTGTATGCGATGTGTAAACTTCCTTGACCATTAACAAGTTTCAGATTCTGAATATGAATGAAGATCCAAATGTAGACATACAAACTGTCAGAGTGCTTTCTTGGGTTTGGGGACATGCTCCTTTGTTTTGGGACAGGGACTTTTTCGTCCCTCCTCTTTCTTTCAAACAAAGAAAACAAAGCAGACTGACCGTGTCCAGGTTCTGCATGATGTCCTGGAAGGATGGGTGCGTCCTGAACTGCTCAAATAGCTCCCTCTTGTAGAGCAGCGCATACACCAGGTTGGGGTTGTGGTGGAGAGAACTGCACAGGCAAGAGTTGATGATCTCCAGCATCATGCGGATCACCTCCTCGATCACATTCAGGTCCTGGGCCTTGGGGAGAGGGAGGATGTAAAGGTTAATTGGTTTCCCCACTACACTGCTTTCACTTTTAATGGTGTTTTTTTTTTTTTTTTTAATGATTTCCTCCTGATAGTTTGATCAGCAGGGGGGAACAGAGGGGTGGGAGAAACAGCAGGGGGGTAACATGGAGGAAAGAAAGAGGAATGAAAGATGTTGCAAAGTTGTCAGCAAAGGTCTTGGTGAGGGACAGATAGGTGACCTAGTAAGCCACAGATCCGGTCATGTCACAGTATGTTTCCTCTGGGGGGGGGGGGAGAAGACTGTCACTGGTGACAGGTGACAGTATGGGAAGAGAGTGGTGGGGGAGAAAAGTCAAAGAGGGTTGAGTTACTTGCTGACAATATGCGTTATTCTGACAAAGTAGGCTGGGTGAAAATCAAAGGACAAAGAAAAAAAAAACCCTGAACATATAAGAAAATACACATAATACTCCAAAATGAAGCCAAGAGGGCGAAGCTACTGCTGCTGCTTGCATCTGCTGTATCCTGGAACATGTGTTTAATGGACTAAAACATCAATGGACTTGAGCTGTATAACGCATTTCTAGACTTCTGACTACTAAAAGTGCTTTCACACCACAGGTCACACCTACCCATTCACGTTATCTAAAGTGGCCACCAGTGCTAACTAATCCCATTCATGACCATTTATACGCCGCCACCGACGAAGCAGTGGGAGCAACCTGGGGTTTAGTGTCTTGCTCAAGGACATTTTGGACATGTGGCAGCAGGAACTGGGGATCGAAACCCCAACCTTACAATTAAGAGATGACCGACTCTAACACTGAGCTAACGCCACCTTGTGCACTACTGGTAGGGCTGTGCAAGACGAACCTTCCTTGGTCAGTTAACATGCACTGAAGTATTATTTGCATTCATGGACCACACTTGGATCATCCCTGATTGGACGTCCACTCAAGTCTGGCAAATATATTAATGCTTGTCTTTGTTCTAGAAACCCATGAAAGTGAACATGATTGCATTCCTTTTTCCAACGAATCCTTCAAATGCCACTTTTTAGAGCTAACCATACACACATTTTATGGTTGCCCATAAAGTTCATTTTTGTTGCTACTTTTAACTTGTTGGTGCTAAGAAAACTCAAACCTTAGTACCATCAATTGTAGCTTTGAAATCAGTAAACCAACAGCCCTTTGTCTGCACTCAGGGAGAGATTTGGTAGTTCCACAAAAATAACTAAGCAGTGAGGTATTCTTAAATCTAATCAGACTATCTGCTCTATGTGGGGAACATGCAGTGTAAGAGCAGAGATCCTATCATGCATTGTTCTTCTTGACTTACTGTGCTGACAACAATGTGTGCACACAGACAGACGTACAGACAGACGCCAACATGACAAGATAAGGTCCCATTAGGCGTGTTCCATGGTGGCACAGAAAGGAAACAGCCTGAGAGACCGTGGGAATATGAATCTTGAATCTTACAGAGATAAAAACGATGCAGCAATGAATTGGGACATACGGAGAAGTTGTACGATTTCCCCGCAGTGTGACATCATAGACTGATGTTATTATAGATAAAAATCCAGAGATGATGCCCTCAGTTTCCAAACCAATCTGAAAATAAAAACAATGAGCAGAGTTTTGATTTATCTCAGTGAAAACACACCCTGCAAACAAAATGGACTTAAGGCACAATGGTGTGTTTTTTCACCAAACAGCAGTTTAATATTTGGGACTGCCTTTCATTTTTCCAATTTCTTGTAAGACTACATGGGAAAATGTGGCATCAGCTGCTTAGAAACCACTCTATTAAGAGTATATCTATGCTGGGCCGAACAGAGCGAAATCAGCAACAACAACTTAGAAGGAACCGAGACAAAAATGCAGACTAAGAGAACGCAGGAGTCAAGAACATTGAAAGCAGCTTAGCTTAATGCGACGGTGTACTAATGAAATAAGTCCAACAGTAGAATGACCAACACTGTAACACACACGGCAACGATTCGGTAACCGCTTTCAGTGCTGATCCTGCGTCTCTATGATTACAAGAACAGCATGACCATGTTACACCAACAAGCTACAAGCCTGATAGTAAGTCTTATTACGATGTACTTACAGTTTATTGTTACACAAACACATGACGTAAACATCCGCGTCCCCTTTTATTTTCAGAATAAAAACCGATCTACAATGCAGGACATGAAGGTAAATACTGGTATTGGTTCCATTTAAAAAAAAAAATGACCTCGAACATATCTTTGATTATTCTGTACATGAATCTGTATTAAGCGAAGTTTGGCCAACATATCTAACAAATGCCTTCAGATGCAAAGCACTGAAACACGTCTTAAAGATGCAATCATGCATTTAAACCCTAAAAAGAGAAAGAAAACCGAATGGGAAAAACACCAACACACACACACACATTCACAACATCGTCATAGCTCTATTTATTAAAGCGCCCATTACGCTGGGAAATGATGGAGTTCAGCAATCATCTGTCTGCAATATACAAACAAGAAAATGTCTTTATTGATGATGATTGAACGCAGCAGTATATAATCAGGAGAATTCACCTCGACGCTAGTGGGAGGGTGTGGTGATGTTTACTACCTGCGATCGATGCACGATCATAGTCTTGTACGCACACGACTGCTATGATCGGCTATGATCTCTCTGAACGAAATTCAACTGTTGCAATATGTTTTCTGTTCACCAGTATGTTCTTCTACACGCATCGTTCTGTTTACGTCACATCTTGCCTCAAAGAGCCCCCGTCCCCCCGTCCCCTCTCCCATTTGACAGGGATAGTCTCCTGCTGTGGGGGTGCATGTGTGAACGACCATGTTCTCTAGACATTTTGAGGAGTGCATATGTGAGAACGGCTTTAGATTTACAGGAAGCCTCGTTTTTAAACGGGCTCTCATCAGCAAGTTTCACCGGGGGTAACCTCCTGCCACATTTCAGGAACAAAATAAAACAGAGTGAACTCTTATGTAAGTATTTAATCTCAGTAAAATACATCAGAATAAAGTGCTAGGCAAACCAGTGGAATATGCTAAGTATAGTTTTCAGCATAATCTGTATGTGTGGATCTATAAATCAAAAGGGGGTTTATGACAAAACATCCTCTGCACAATGAGACTCATTTAAAGCTTTTAAAACTTGAAAACATTTTGGGCTCTAGTTCTCCACTGCGAGACTTATCCTTGAGGATTAATTTTCATGACGAACATCATTGTTCTGATGATGACCTGTTTTGACCAAGAATTTGCTAATGCCGGCTAAGACCTGATTCAAAAAACAGCGGCTCAGCGAGTCTGCGGCAGCAGGCTGATTGGGAGCCGAGATTCTGCCTCCAATCTGGGTGAACCATCTGTAAGAGAACTGCATGTGGTTGCATTTTACACTCCGTCTACTGTGCCCTGCTTCAGAAACAAGTCCTTATCTTAAAAATAACCTTTCTTGCTGTGTGGTCACACGTTCGCAGAATAAACACACATAATAACAATCTGAGAGTAGACAGGAGGATTCGGACGGCTGTAAGTCACTTATTTTTGATTTGACCGTGAATAAGGCTATACAGCATGATGCAATAATGCACTCATCTACAGACTGGTGGACCAAGATGTGTGGCGCTGTAAGTAAAGGTAGGCAGCAGATTCAGCTATAATGAGGATTGATTGTGCGTCTGGAAGCCGAGGTGGCTCTCCGGGCTCAACTAGACAGCCTAGCTAGACCTGCCCTCCTCTGTTCTGCTGTGGCAGGCCATAATTAGACTGAACACAGGGACAGATGTGGGAGACAACTGAGTCGGAGGAAGAGAGGGCGGAGGAACGAGGAGAGGGACAGAAATGGAAGCACGGAAGAGGAAAAGTGGAGCGTGAGCTGAGGTTGGTGGGGAAAGTGAATGTGATAAAGACAAAAGGAGGAAGAGGGAGGCAGGAGTAGGAGTGAGGGATGCCTAGTGTGTGTTTGTTATGTAGCTGTGCACCCAGCTTAATGAGATTAGCCTGGCAGGAAAAAAAATGCCACACTGGGGAATTCAGGTCACATGAAAATAGGCTAGCTAGACGTCTGCCTGGCTCTGTGTGTGCGTATGTTTGTCAAGTGGATGAGATTAAGAGGTCCATGGTCTACTTGAAACCCAGACAGGATTTAAATATAATGGCTCCTCCTCCTCAACTTCCCACTCTGTTCTCCCGCACTTGTTTTCCCCCCCAAAAAAAATATATCCACCAGACAGCCAGAAAACACCTGACATGTGTTTGTATGACTGCATGAAACCATAAGGGCTTTTTTTCTTCTTCTTCTTCCTCCTCTTGCTACCTTTCCTCATTTTTTCCTTCCCTCGCCTACTCTTCCTATGCCATGTGACTCTTTTTTTCCAGCCTCCTGCATTGTCATTTAGTCATAACCACTCACAACGCTGTTTAATATCTTCTCTCCACCCAGGAAAACACAGGCCTCAGACATGAGCTGTGTCATTAGTCTCAATGATCCTGCCCCATTTGACCAGTTTCACCATTCACACAAACCTAACAGGAAGCCTCACATTTGTGTGTGTGTGTGTGTGTGTGTGTGTTTTGATTATACTGCTAATACTTCAACATGCTGGGCTCAAATGTGTTATGTCTGCAGGTGTGTTTGACCTTTGCTATCTGTCTGACAAGGAAAATTATAGTCTGCAGATGCAATCAGCGACTGGGAAGGACAGCGCCTGCACAGCACTATCTGTGTGTGTATTTGTCTAGGCGTTCCTATCATAGCTGTGCATGTTTTTATACGAGTACGTGCGTGCATGTGCGTGTGTGGATAGGGTGTTTAGAGACACAGACATGCAAATCCCTGTAAAGTAGGAGCTGGCATCATTAAACCAATAGCTTAGTGATTCAGTGGCGGCTCGGTGCAGGCTGTTGCAGGGCAGACAAACCAGACGTATTAAGAAAGAGTTCTGACAAAGACAAGGGCAAGGAGATAAACAGAGACAGACACACAAAGAGAGACA